GTGTAGGTGTGTGGAACCAGGTTCTTCGGCAGCCGATACTGGTCCCAAGGATCATTGGATGGGGTAGGTGTCGGGCCGGGCGGTTTAGCTGTCGTGACGGGTGGTTTGGTTGTAGTGTGGGGCTGGCCGTTTTTTGCCTTTTCCTGCGAATAAACAACAGATAGAGCTATGATAGTGGCCACAGCGCCCACGCCTGCAACGATGCCCACTATCCCAACAACTTTACTGATGAAGAAACCCTTCGCCATGATGCCGGCCTGCGCTGGAGATCCACACTGAGCCACTGCAGGTGAAGGTTGTATATGTAGCCGAGGGCATCGCCTTCCCTCCCATCCGCTGCAACAGGTGATACATTAACAGTGAGATTGTAAACACCCACATCACCTGGTGAACACTACTCGCTGCCCTTGCTACAAGATGTTCAATATTTTTAACCCATTTTTTTTCACAGTGTAGTGTCAGAGCCATACATAAGAACAAAAGAAAAAGTTCTGAATCACTTTGGCAGCATTCCTTCCTTCCTAAGTTCTGACTGCTCGCCTCCATGATGCTGCCACCACCGTGCTTCAACGTAGCGACGGTATCAGCAGGTGATGGGCAGCACCTGCATTTATGCTGTATTTTATTTATTTTATAATATTTAAGAAATGTCTTCTAACTGTAAAAGAATTTAGTTCTCTGGATACTCTGGGGAAACATAATTTTTTGCTGTTTACTAAGCATATTTACCTTTTAAAAAGTGCAGACCATGCTTCAGGTCTCTGTATTCCCTGAAAACATTGGCAGCAACATAAAGATAACAAATATATGAACTAGGGCTGGTCCGAATAGCAATTTGGACCATGTAAATGTTTATATCTATGGATATAGCAGAAAACAGAAATGAATAAAGGTGCGAGTCGTACTTTCCTAAGAGGAAAAAGTGCTATAGTATCTTCTTGGTATTTATGTATTCCAAGAATCTATTTGATTTTGGTCAGAGCTACAGCTCTCCTCTCTGACATTCAGTCACAATTAATGACGAATATCCCAAATATCATTTATTTTTACTGTACTTAGGTATGCTGTGTGATTAGAATCTGAGAAGTGATACATATGTGTATATTAAATAGAAAACAAAAATGACAAATATTTTACTTGGACTATCCTAGTTTTTATATTTTTTTTGTGTTAATATGCATGTTTAAAGCTTTAGCAGCAAAAGAAGTAGATTTTCTGATTTCAGTTTGGCTTTGTTGTGTCAGTATAGTTAATTATTTAATCATGTTGGCTCAATTGAGTCAAAGTCTAATTTCCTTTCAGGCAGCGATTGATTTAATTCTGCCCGTAATAATCAATCTCTGGCCTTGTTTTTATCTCTGCAGCTCCCTGATAAAAAGCATTTATTAGCTCAAAGACAGCACATGAAAGTGTTTAAGTTGAGGCTTGATTATTATTTATTACTGTGATGTTTGGAGACATGGTGTTGTGTCATATTTGAATGCAGTGTCCGTTACTGTAATGGTTAACCTTTAGGTGCATTCACTGTCTATGTTTTTATAGATGCTGTTGCCTCAGTGGACAACATCCGCTGAAGGAGGGAAGATCATATTTCAAATGATTTTAGGGGGAAGCTATCATTTAATAGTTTGTGGCAGAAACAAAAAGTTCAAATTACTGTTTTGTTGTTGATTTTTTATCTTGTTAATTAGCACAAAACCCAAACTGAGCATCAGAAACAAGAAAACAGGAGAAAATACATTATTTTCTGACTGTTTTTGACTGTAAATTGAAAAAAAAAAAAGCTTAACAGGCTATTCCACTAGTGAGTGCGCTCTGTTTTTGCCTTCAAACTGAAATTTCTGTACTTTGTCAGCAGGCTGACAGCTTCATAAAACATATCAATATTAAAGTAAAAAACACAATTAAGTCACCAAAAAAACTCAATTTTTCTAAATTATCCAAATGATCCTCGTTAACACTGCGTACACACTCGAAAAAACAATAACGTGTGGGTTCAACAAACAGTTTGCATCAATCTTTTTGAGTTATGACAAATTCTAATGGAATTTTGTTCATTTTGTTGTGAAAATAACAGCAAATATCTGTAAAAATTGTTATATTTTTAGCTTATTTCAATAAAGAACAACAGCTTAATTTATATTTACACCGTAAAATATAGAATTGTTTGTAAAAAATATAGATTGCTGAAGTAGAAATTATGTGCACTTTTTTTGTTCTTTTTTTACAGTCAACATAAAAAAAAAAAAAAAGTCAACATTCCCCCGATGAATCGCCACCTTATCGCAGTGGAGGGGTTTGAGTGTCCCTGTGATCCTGGGAGCTATGTTGTCCGGGGCACGAGCCCCTGGTAGGGTCTCCCAAGGCAAATTGGTTCTGGGGAAGGGACCAGACAAAGAGCGATTCAGAAGACCCAGATGAAGAGCAGGAAAAGGACAGCCACTACCTCGCACGGAAAAGGGAGACCGGGGCACCCTCCTGGAGCCAGGCCTGGGGGGGAAGCTCGCCGGGGAGCGCCTGATGACCGAGCTTTGGGGCCCCGTATGGCTTGATCGGGCACAGCCGAAAAAGTAACACGGGGCCACTGCCCAGAGGGCCCACCACTCTCAGGGCAGAGGATTGGGATCGGGTGCTATGCCCACCGGGTGGTAGGCAGGAGTGGGTGTCCTGGCGTACTGCCCCCTGGTGGCGTAGACTAGCTTTTGGGACGTGGAACATCACCTCACTGGCGGGGAAGGAGCCTGAGCTGGTGTCGGAGGTGGAGCGTTACCGGCTAGATATAGTCGGGCTCACCTCCACGCACAGCAAGGGAACCCAACTCCTGGAGAGGGGTTGGACTCTCTCTTTTTCCAGAGTTGCTCACGGTGAGAGGCGCCTGGCAGGTGCCCCTCACAAGCCCCTGGCTGAGCGCCGCCATGTTGGAGTTCTCCCCGGAGAGTGAGAGAGTTGCCTCTCTGCGACTGCGTGTTGTAGAGGGGAAAACTCTTGACTGTCGTTTGTGCGTATGCACCAAACGGCAGCACAGAGTATTCTGCCTTCTTGGAGTCACTCGGCGGTGTCCTGAAAGGTGTGCCGCCTGGGGACTCCATAGTTCTCCTGGGGGACTTCAATGCTCACGTGGGCAATGACGGTGAAACCTGGAGGGGCGTGATTGGGAGAACAGGCTGCCCAATCTGATCCAGAGCAGTGTTTTGTTGTTGGACTTCTCTGCTAGCCACGGATTGGCCATAGCAAACACCATGTCCATAAGGTTGCTCATAAGTATACCTGGTACCAGAGTACCTTAGGCCAAAGGTCGATGATCGACTTTGCAGTCATATCAGCAGATCTGCGGCCATATGTTTTGGACACTTGGGTGAAGAGAAGAGCAGAACTGTCAACTGATCACCACCTGGTGGTGAGTTGGATCCGATGGCGGGGAAAGCTGCCGGACAGACCCGGTAAATCCAAACGTGTAGTGTGGGTGAACTGGGAACGCCTGATTCAGGCCCCTGTCTGTGGGGTCTTCAGTTCCCACCTCCGGAAGAGTTTCTCCTGCATCCCGGGGGAGGTTGGGGACATGGAGTCAGAGTGGTCCATGTTCAAAGACTCCATTGCAGAAGCGGCCATTAGGAGCTGTGGCCAGAAGGTCACTGGTGCCTGTCGCGGCGGCAACCCCAGAACCCGCTGGTGGCCACCGGCAGTGAGGGAAGCCGTCAGGCTGAAGAAGGAGACCGTTCAGACCTGGTTGGCTCGGGGGTCTCCTGAAACAGCAGGCAGGTACCGACTGGCCAAAAGGGCTGCAGCTGCGGCGGTCATGGAAGCTAAAACTTGGGTGTGGGAGGAGTTCGGGGAGGCTATGGAGAAGGACTTTCGGTCAGCTAGAAGAAGTTCTGGCAAACCATCCGATGCCTCAGAAAGGGGAGGCAGGGATTCACCCAGGCTGTGTACAGCCGGGGGGGAGAACTGCTGACGCAGACTGGGGATCTTGTCGAGCGGTGGAAGGAGCACTTCGAGGAACTCCTGAACCCGGTAAGCACGTCCCTGCTGAGGAGGCAGAGCCTGAAGACTTGGGGGTTTCTGCGTTCATATCCGTGGTGGAGGTTGCCAAGGTAGTTAAAAAGCTCCTCGGTGGCAAAGCGCCAGTTGTGGACGAGATTCGTCCTGAGATGCTAAAGGCTCTGGACATTGTTGGACTGTCATGGCTGACATGTCTCTTCAATGTTGCGTGGGCATCGGGCACGGTGCCTGTGGAGTGGCAGACCGGGGTGGTGGTTCCCATTTTCAAAAAGGGGGACCGGAGAGTGTGTTCCAATTACCGGAGAATCAAACTTCTCAGCCTCCCCGGGAAAGTTTACTCGAGGGTGCTGGAAAGGAGACTCCGGCCGATTGTCGAACCTCAGATTCAGGAGGAGCAATGCGGATTCCGTCCTGGTCGTGGAACAGTGGACCAGCTCTTTACGATTGCAGAGCTGCTGAGGGGGGCATGGGAATTCGACCTGCCAGTCCACATGTGCTTTGTGGATCTGGAGAAGGCCTATGACCGTATTCCCCAAGGGACTCTGTGGGGGTACTGAGGGAGTATGGGGTACCAGGCACGTTGCTACGAGCAATTCGGTCCCTGTATAACCAAAGTGCGAGCTGTGTCTGCATCCTCGGCAATAAGTCGAACACGTTCCCAGTGGGTGTTGGAGTCCGGCAGGGCTGCTCCTTGTCCCCGATCCTGTTTGTGGTTTTCATGGACAGGATCTCAAGGCGCAGTCAGGGTGAGGATGGTGTCCGGTTTGGGGACCTCAGGATTACGTCTTTGTTTTTTGCAGATGATGTGGTACTGTTGGCTCCATCAGACCGTGACCTTCAGCACGCATTGGAGCGGTTTGCAGCCGAGTGCAAAGCGGCGGGGATGAGGATCAGTACCTCCAAGTCCAAGGCCATGGTTCTCTGCCAGAAACCAGTGGATTGCCACCTCTGGGTGCAGGGGGAGTTGCTTCCTCAAGCGAGGGAGTTTAAGTATCTCGGGGTCTTGTTCACGAGTGATGGGAGGATGGAGCGTGAGATGGACAGGCGGCTCGGTGCAGCATCAGCAGTAATGCGGGCGCTGTACCAGACTGTCGTGGTGAAGAGAGAGCTGAGCCGCAAGGCAAAGCTCTCGATTTACCAGTCCATCTACGTTCCAACCCTCACCTATGGTCACGAGCTTTGGGTCATGACCGAAAGAACGAGATCGCGGATACAAGCAGCTGAAATGAGCTTCCTTCACAGGGTGGCTGGGCTCACCCTTAGAGATAGGGTGAGGAGCTCGGACATCCGGAGGGAGCTCGGAGTAGAGCCGCTGCTTCTTCGCGTCGAAAGGAGTCAGTTGAGGTGGTATGGACACCTGATTCGGATGCCTCCGGGGAGGCTTCCTCTGGAGGTCTTCCGAACACGTCCACCTGGGAGGAGACCGGCTGATTTGGACCCAGTTTGACTACCTGTTGGAGAGGATCAGTATCACGTTAGGCGATATGTGCGTAACGTGTGTCGAGAATCGCATCATTCGCGCGAATAACTTGCTCAATTTGCGTCAATTGTGCGAGTCACGCCGCGGGACGTTTACTCACGTCTAATCGAGTCTTCACATTGACTTTACATGTAAATCATTTGTGGAAATGATTTTGCTCGCGTCTGGTGTAAACACAGGGTTCAATCGGCATTTTGGTAAGAGGGCGCAAGCCGGGAGTATGAGGGCGCAGCGCCCCTGTAACATTGTCTAGACAAACCTCTGTAATCTAATCGTTTTATCACCAGTGAAAACCACTAAAACAAATATTAACAGCAAATTATTAAAATATGCAGTATAATAAAATAAAGGATGTTTTTAACTACAGCTTGGTCTCACTCTCGATTTTCACTCCATCATCTCCTCTAGGTTCTGGAGGTTTCGTTTCTCATCTCGCATTGGCTGAACTATTTTTACACATGCGTCTTTACTGGCAGGAAACTCTGACGATTTTATTTTCTGTTGTTATCCCTGCAGATAAACCCCCACACACATTACAACACAGCAGAGGTCAGTATCAGTGCAACCCGGCCCGTCCATAAAGATAAAGCTTGGTGGATCATTTCTGTGTGAACAATAATGTGCGTTTGTTAACATGGATATTGGGGAAGTGTCAGTTTCGCTTCACCACTCTGTTTTCTGCTCGGCACTCTTCCTCATGAATAAAACACATAGACGCATAACGCAGTGAAGAGCTTTCTCTATATGACACTGTTTTTTTTAGTCAGGTTTAGGGACAGAAACTTTTTTCACTTCTTTGTGTTTCAAAAACAACTCATAAAGCACTTTTATTTATCATTATTCACATTAATAACTGCATGAATAATTTAAAAAAACCAAAAAAACAGATGAACTAGCTTTGTTTTAAAGGTGTTGGTATCAAGACAGTGGATCTTTGAGGTAAAGCCAGCTACGTTTATGATATCGTACCACTGCACCATGTGAGCTGTCTAATCTTTATTAATCTGAATCACATTCTAAAATACAAGTGAGCTATTTCCACCCCTTAATTAAATGGCTGCAAGATAAGACAAAGGAACCTTTTGCACATTTTTTACATAAGAGGAGGGACATGCAGATCCAAAAGTCTCAAACAGACTTCCACACACACTCATTAACTCACAAAAATATATTTATAGCAATGTTAGGCTTCAACCAGCTGCTTTAGACTTTGCTACTAATTAACAGACTCCACCATATACCATCCATATACTAATTAAAAATCCAAACCTATGAAAGCTTAAAGACTGCCACATTATTATAAATAAATAAATCAACTTATGGCTTTCAGGTGTAGGTTAACCTACAACTGAAATGAGGAAATACCCCCAAAAAACACACAATTCTAGTAAACAACATTAAACAGCAAAGCAGAAAGGAGAACATCAGTTAGAATTCATCACATTACTACATTTCATTGAGACCCTACCCACTACAATATACAGAATTATTTTCTAGAAATTATTTAAAATGTGTGCAGTTACCATCTAAGCGTAGAGAATCTACTGAGCATTATATGTAGACATTTATTTTTCTTTATCCTTTGTACTACATATTGTGCTGGGGAGGGTCTTGGAGAAATATGATGTTCACCATAACGCTGCTAATAAATGGATTTTTTGCAAATTAGACAGCGTGCAGTAGATAAAGAATTGAAAAAATCTAATTAATAGATTTATACATAATCTTTTTTCAATTATTTAATGGCTTGGATTGACATAATAATGTGGTAATTGCATCAATTTAATACTGTTAAAGTTGAACTCAAATTTACGCGCTAGTTGAATTAAAACTAAATTAAAGTTGACATAACTACATTAAATGTGCTCGATAACTTATTTATTCTTCACCTAGAGTTCAGGATTTCAAGTCCCCTCCATTACCTACCTAACAAACCTGGATAATTTAAGAATGAGAGAAACTGTAGGCTGAATAAATTTAATACTAAAGGATGTTTGAAAGGAGGCTGCAAGGTGGATCGGTGGTTAGCATCGTTGCCTTGCAGCAAGAAGGTCGCAGGTTCGCGTCCCGGTGAGAACACCTGGGATCTTCCTGCGTGGAGTCTCCATGTTCTCCCCGTGCAGGGTGGGTTCTCTCCGGGTTCTTAGAGTTTATGTTACACTCATTGTACATTTTCTTATTTTTTATTTATCTGTATTTGTGGTGGTGGTAACTTTACTCTTTCTGCTCTAATACCCAAATTTCTCCTCGAGGATTAATAAAGTATTTCTATTCTATTTTACAAATCCTGTCTTCAGCAGAGATCATGTCTTATTTAACGGTCTCTTGACTCCTCTGCAGTAATAAACAGGATTATGACCGGCCATGGCTTCTGTTCATTTGCCACGTTCAACTCGGTGATTGCGATGACGAGATGCATCGTTATCTCCTCCCTGGACGCTAATGAGAACGATAAGGTCGACGTGACGCTAGCAGTTATAAAGAACCTCTACAGTGTATTTTACAGAAAAACAGAAGCAAGAAAATCAAAGGAAATGCAGCAGCATACATATGCCTCCCTCAACTGAAGCCAGTTTTGCTTATTTTTCAATTCTGGCTCTGTAGTTGCCAACTGTTATGATGTTTTTGGGCTTTTAAAGTAATTCACTCCAGGCAGAACATCCATAAGGCCATAGGACTGTATTTAAAATTAAGAGTTGATGTACTATTTTAAAATAATCTTGGCTGGAAGTCGTAAAACTAGAATAAGAAAACATCTACAGTCTGAATCACTGATCTTACAAGATTTTAGTAAAATTAAGAATATCTGTGTGATAGACCAATTATTTTTCTATTAAAGAAACCCAATGAACATGATGGTTTTTCTCACTGCAAGTGTTTTGTATTACAACTTTGCCTCTACCGCTCCTCACCTGATAAAATGAGTTGTTTTTTACTTTTTTGTGTTTTAACTGGCTTTGTATTTTTGTCTTTTGCTTGTTTGTGTTTATATATTTGCAAAAAAATGACAGAGTCATCATGAGTATACAAAAATTGAATAGCATTTGAAATAGTGTCAATAAAAATTATCAGTAAATAAATAGCAAAGGAGGAGGAGGAGGAGGAGGAAAAGATAAGATAAGCGTTTACAGTGTTACAGCAGCAAACTGGGCAGTGCTAAAAATGTTGGGACAGCAGCAGTAAAATTTTAAAAATAAGGACTGTTGACATTTTACAGATTCTTTCACATGTAGAAATTCTGATATTGCAAAGATTCCTTTGAATGAGGAAAATAAGAATATTGCACAGGATTCATTGACATGAAGAAAGACACTGGTTTTGCACAGATTAAAGCACAACTAGGAATACTGATATTTAAATAATGGGATAATGCCCAGATTCCTCTAATTATATTGCACGGAATATTTTAAATGTCCAGAGGGTTTATAACAGGAAGCTTTAAATGCAATAGACTGAACTGTTTACGTCTACTGAACACAGATGAGTTAAACTTCAACTCAGGTGATAACATCTTCTGTGTTCCTGGATCATCTTTTTTACTTTTACTTTACTTTATTACATAAAGTATGACTTTCAGAATCAGAATCTTTAATGTCATTATACAAAAAGCACAACAAAATTGAGTGCAATCTTGTTGAGTACAAAATAGCAATTTTAAACTAACAAAACTATGTGCAAAGACGTAAAAACAGAGCTGTATAAAAGCACTTAAAAGTTATTACCATTCCAATTATTATATTTATATAAATATTACAGTAATCATTGTTGTTATTGTTATGACTGTGATATTCTGATTTGTGTTATTGTTCTTTTATACATTTCTTTTTAGCTTTCTCAATCATTTTAAACTATTTCAACGATACAAAACGATCTACGAAATTTACGTTTTGAAGGGCAAACAGATGATAAAAAAAATAAAAGATGCATTTATGGGATGCATTTTGTTTCAGTGTCGTGAAAATAATCCACAGTTTACTGATTTGTCCTTTTTGGAGTTTAGAAAAGATCAAGAAAACTGCAGATTTTGTTGCAACTCCTAATTCAGACTTTTCAGACACACGTGAAGGCAGCACACTGTCTACAGTCGCCATAGCAACATGACGCTGTGCTGATGATGCCTTCCAGGACCGTGTGTCGCTGACGTTTTTGACATCAAAACACCGATATTTATCAATTTATATTTAATTTAACATCGACAAGCAACCGGCTGCCGGTGCTCCTACAGCCAGCGGGCCGACACGGAGGAGAGCTGAGCCCAACATGCCGTTACTCGTGTCGGATTATTCCTGGACCCAAACAGACTCCACCGTTTACATTAACGTGCCGCTAAAAGGAGCCAAAGCCAGGAATGTGGACATAGTTTGTACGGAGGAATACCTCAAGGTAAAATGATCAAACAGCAAAAGACTGTGATCGTTTTTACTGTCTGCTAGAGTTACGTCTTTCATGTACGTCGCTTTGTCAACAATAATACTCGCTGCAGCTTCCCAGTCGGCAGTTTCGATGCTTTCTTCGCATCTGGACCACAATATTACATGTAGACAAGTAAAAAAAAAAAAAAAAAACTGGATTGCATTATGGCAGAGAGAGTTAAAAAAGGTAAACAATTTCGGACTTGTGAAACCTCTGTTCGCTTTGTGAGAGTGTAAATAAACTGAGATCACATATTGTGGTTGAAGTTTCTGCACCTTGTTCATTTGTGAAGAAAGCAGTGAAATCTCTCTGTTTTGCATTTTTGTCAGGTTTCACAAATGTAAAAGTGGATTTCACACCGCACTAGGGGTTCACTTAATCGTCTAATATGGATTTACGTCATCTAAATTTGCGGAAAATTGAGAATTTGTGGATCTTTTTCCCTAAATAGGATGCTGAGTTCAGGGTCAAGCGCACATCCGGGTCACAAAGCTAAAGCTAACTGGCTGCTTGCGTAAAAGTAAGCTAGCCGCCGATGTATTTTATTTTTTTTCTTAAAGCTTAAAATTAATTTAAACGTTCTTACCTTGTTCCGTGGGTATTTTCTAAATCCTTAAAGACTCGTAAAGCAACTTGAATGAGAAAAACTTTCGGAGAAACACACTATCCGGCCTTCTACGTTCGCTAGCTAGTACTTGATTCAGGGAGCCGACGGCCGCCATCTTTGTTTTTCCGGAAACACTTTCCCAATTAGGAGAATCTGTGACTATATTTTTAAATATTTTTTTAAGGCTAAAAAGAAACCCTACAGCTGAACAGGGTAAACATTGTAAACAATGAAATGTACCGAGTTGATTACACAAAGGCAACAAAATTTATTTACAACAAATTATTTGAATGCACAAATGTGGTATTATTTTTTAGATTTTGGTCCTTCTACAAAACCAGAATCACAAGATGACTGTACATTTTTGGGACCTGTTAGTCTTGACCCAGGACTTGTGACTAACTATTCTAAACATGGAACTTTTTGGTCTTGATTTGAGACACGACTTGCGAGTTGTTGGTCTTACCTTGGGACATGACCAGGGACTTGTTGGTCTGGTCTTGTCATGACCCAGGAACTGACTTGCGTCTTGATTGGGGACTTTGTTGTCCTAAATTGGGACTTAAGCTAGGAACTCGTATGTTTTGACCATGAACTTGACTTGAGACTTGTTAGTCTTGACTTGTACATCATGTTTTTACAGGTGAGTTTCCCTCCGTACCTGTTTGAATCCTTCCTGTTTGAACCTGTTGATGAAGACAGAAGCTCAGCGAAGGTTGGAAATGGAGTCGCTCTCATCAGTTTACCAAAGAAGACCAACAAACACTGGCAGCAGCTGATGATAAACACAAGTAAGAGTCACTTCTTTATGTTTAGTATCGAGTTACTGATATTGTACATATTATGTAGCTACTATAGTTCTGTATACTGAGTCTTATGACCATATTTTCATATTATTTCATATTTATGTAGGATTCTGCTCTTTGACTGAAATTTCTCCTCACAGCCTAGCCTTCATGGCATCATTAAATATAAAGCTGTATTCACTGAAAGCAAAAATTGCCTCCACCCAAACAAACATTTTTGCATCGTTTCTGAAATAACATCAAGTCAGGCAGCAGCTCACATGGACTTTCAGCATAGCAGTTTTGCACCTTTTAAAAGCAGAGTTCTTTCTTATCCTGCATAGACTTTAAAGCAGCATTATCTGATGTTTATTCTGGCCTTATCTATGTTGTGTCTGCTCTGATACAATCTGATTTTGACAGTTTTGTGGTCGCTCAGACTATAGAGCTTAACCTCAAAGAAGCCACTCAACAAAATGTGTTTCAGACGATAAAGAAAAGAACAAGGAGATCAGAGAGAGGGCTCTGCTGAGATACCAGGAGAAGCTTTCTTCAGAATCTAGACAAAAAGCAGAGAAACAGCAAAAAGAGAAAAAATATGCTCTGGAGACAATGATGAAGGTAACACTTTGTAATAACAAATGTCCAAACGTACCACCAATTTCTGCTCTGAAATCTAGTTGGACTTATAACAGTGTGTTGTACATGGTGTCAGCTTGAAAAGGAGGAAAGAGAGAGCATCCAGAAGATGAAGGACACAGAGCGAGAGAAAACCACGGCAGAGCTGGAAGCCTGGCAGCAGAAAACTGAGGAAGATAAACTGAATCAGAGAGGAAATCCAAACCAACAGAGAGCCGGTAAAGAGAGGCGGGAAATCAAACCGTCAGTCAATCTGGGTGAGTGATGTCCTGGTGATCATTGCTGCTCCAACACTGGCTGATTTTAATAAACTTATTCCTGCGTTTAGACCAAAAAAAAGTCAACAGTGAAGCAAAGAGCAACAAAAAAAAAGCCGACCTGCCTCCTCCGAGAATCAGCGGAAACATTCAAATCACTTTCACACCACGAGTTTTCCCAACAGCCCTCAGAGAGTCCAGAGTGGCGGAGGAGGAAGAGGTGAGCTCCTTTCTGAGCAGTGAGCATGAATCACAAATTCATTCTTAAATACACAAACAGCAATCCAAATGAATGTAAAGCAATTTACAGGCAAATACTTCACACTTTGGGTAATATCAGTGTTTCACTTCTACAGTTGAGACCAAAAGAAGAACAGACCTAAAATGCATCATATTTTCAAGTAAATCTTGCCTTGTAAAGACTTGATGGTCTTAACTGGGGGCATGAATTAGGACTTGTTAGTTTTGACCTGGGACTTAACATGAGACTGATAGACCCAGAATTAAGACATTCTAGTCTTGACTTGAGATTTGTTGGCCCAGATTTGAGACTTTTTAATCCTGACTTGAGGATTGACTAGATTTTTGTTAGTTTCAACCTGGGACTTAATTTGGGACTTGTTGGTCTTGACACGGAACTTGACTTAGGACTTGTCCTACGACTTGTTAGTCTTTACTTGGGAATTGCTAGTCTGGATGTGGGATCTGACTTGGCACTTGCTGGCCTAGAACTGTGACTTGACATGGGACTTGTTAATCTTAGCTTGGGACTTGACTTGAAACTTGTTGGGACTTGGGACTTGCTAGTCTGGACCTGGGACCTGACTTACGACTTGTTGGCTTGTTGACTTGCAACTTGACCAGGAACTTGTTGGTCTTGACATAGGACTTGATTTGAGACATGGCAGTTTTGACTTGAGACTTGACTAATAACTTGTTGGTCTTGCTATGGGTCCTTGCTTGATATTTGCTAGTCTAGACCTGGAACCTGACTTGGGATTTGATGTGGGATTTGTTGGGCTTAACTTGGGACTTGCTAATCTTGACCTGGGACCTGACTTACAACTTGTTGGTCTTGACTTGCAACTTGACCAGGAACTTGTTGGTCTTGACATAGGACTTGACTTTAGACTTTGCTAAGAAGTTGTTGGTCCTCACTTGATATTTGCTAGTCTGGAACCTGACTTGGGATTTGACTTGGGATTTGTTGGTCGTAGCTTGGAATTTGACTTGGATCTTGACCTAGGACCTGTTGGTCTTAACTTGGTACTGGCCAATCTGTACCTAAGACCTGACTTGGCTCTTGTTGGCTGAGGACTGGAACTTGACAAGTGCTAGTCTGAACCTAGAACCAGGACTTGAGATTTGACTTGGGACTTTTTGGTCCTGGCTTGGAACTTGATAGCTTCGCTGAGAATTGGGACTTGACTTGGAACCTTTTGGTCTTGGCTTGCAACCTGACAAGGAACTTGCAGTGTCTTAACTGAGGACTTGACTTGACATTTGATAGTCTGGACCTGGGACCTGACTTGGCAGTTGTTGGCAGAGACTTGGGACTTGACATGGAACTGGTGGTCTTGACTCAGGACTTGAAGGACCTGTTTTTTCTCTGTAGATCAGTAATATTTGTATGTTACAGGACAAAAGACACACGTGTATAATTTTTCCTTTAAACCAACCAGTGGCTGAACAAACAAGCTGAAGCCAGACGAACCGTGAACTCGGAGCTGGTGGAGGAGCTGAAGGACCTGACGGAGGAGCAGAGGAACCCCGACTGGCTGAAGGACAAAGGAGAGTGAGTGAATCCAGAACTCTGATCTGTTTACCTGTATACATATTTATTATATTTGAACCCTGGAGTCACTAAAAGGACTTTCTCCTGCAGTAAATGTTTTGCGAGTGGCGACTACCTGGGAGCAGTGAACGCCTACAGTCTGGCCATCAGACTCAACAGGAAGATCCCTGCTCTGTATTCAAACAGGGCTGCGTGTCACCTGAAGTTAAAGAACCTTCACAAGGCCATAGAAGACGCCTCTCAGGTGTGTGTTCACCTGTTATTTTAAATATTCCCTTCAGTATTCTATCAAGTCTATAAAGTACCTGGTAGCTGCTCCCCTACATCTCTGCTGTGAATAACAAACATTTTAAAGTCACTTCAGCCGTTTGGTTTCTGTACACTCTGCTCTGTGAATGTGCTGATATTAAAGCTGTATTGATTATAGATTTGATGCAGATTATTGATAAATGTCTGTGTCCCTGCAGGCTCTTGATCTGTTGACTCCACCAGTCGCAGCAAATGCAGCCGCCAGAGCAAGAGCCAGCGTCCGCAGAGGATCTGCTTTCTGCCAGCTGCAGCTCTACACAGAAGGTCTGTTAGTGGCAATGATTCGATAAGGCACTTTAAATGACTTGTTCAGAACTAGACTTTGGACTTGTCGGTTGCAACCTGACTCAAGACTTCTTCTTCTGGGCACAAAAATTGTTGTTGAATTTGGATGTCAGTTGGGAAGTATTGTTCTTGACTTGGGGCTTGACTTGGGGCTTGACTTGGAACTTGCTGGCCTAGATATGGGACTCGGGGCTTGCTGTTGACTTTGTACATGCTGTTCTTGTCACTAAACTTGCTGGCCTGGATTTGGGACTCAGGACTTGCTGTTTTTTGACTCAGAGATGTTGGTCTTGACTTGGGACTTGTTGAGC